CAAGGAATATGCAAGAAGTATTTTTGGTTCCTCGTTAAATGGAGCAGATGGCCTCCATCATGGTGACCAAAACCTTAAAAGCCGGCTATCAAAGGGAGGTGCATGGCTTGAAAAATCACCATATACCGAATCTATGGCATGGCGGATGTTTTGTGCCTTCAGCTCAAGTTCACTACTATGTCAACGTGCATTGAAAGCCGTGGAAGTGGAAGTTACAGAACTTGGCAGCTGAGGCAACAAATCCTTTGAGATTGCATCCATTGTGTTTTACTTCAGTACCTTCAGCTATACCAAGTGTTCAAAAATCGTTCCCCTCGATTGCAAGCGCGGTTCGTCAAGAAACCCGTGTACTTCTCAGCAAGGAAGTTAGAGTTAAGCTGGAACTTCCCGCAATGCCGCGTTGGCAACAAAAAAAGCGGCTGGCGGCACCAAAACCTTAGCCCATTCTATTAGTGATGCATCCCTCATTTGCTCTTCGGAGGGTTTCACAAACCCGGGACAGTCAGGACATCTTCCCAGTTCCACCTGATTGGAGAAAATTGGGTTTCTGGATAAATCTCTTTCTGTGAAAGGAGAAATCTCTCTTTCAGCACCCTTCCTGCAACTTGCCCTCCATCCAGGTTCCAGTGGACAGTGAAGGTGAAGATGAGGAACCAAATAGTGATGATGTTGTTCCCGCTACTTGGCGGGGAGGAGACTTCTATAAATAGGCTTGCACATCTTCTCAACCCAGCCTTGTGAAGATCCATAGGAAGTAGTGACTAAGTAGTGGAACTAGTCCAAACCGTGAAGCCCATCTGCCCCATCCAGCTCATCCACCTGCCCGCCTGCGCCAGTGTAGGCCACTGTCTTCCGTGACATCAACATGAGCCTCGCCAGCTCTTTGACCTTGGCAGCCATCACCTGTCGCCGCAAATGGCCACAACATACGTGGTGCCCAGTGCGGAGGAGAAACCAATCCAGGTGACCAGGTGCGCAACGAGCCCTATCTCAGCCATCTACGAGCCCTATGTTGGAGGGCGTATTTGATGAACACCAAGAGGTGGGTTCGAACCCTTGCAACGCTTTCATGACCTATCATACTGAGTCATACTCTCTCCCCAACCAACAGCAGATGTACTTTGCCGACTCACATTGGTGGCTTCTCTTCATGCTAAAATCAACCGGCTGGACTGGACGTTGATCGAAAAACACTGTCTGTGCTGGGCTTGCAAACTGGACTGTCTGTGCTGACTCCGAACTTGCAGAGTGACTCCGAACAAATATGAGTCACTCGGCCTGCTGTGGCCTGGGGAAGCCACAGCCAGCCCAACAGGAGCCACTGTGTTAGAGTTAAACCACACCAAATCGGGGAAGACCTATTGGTTTCTTGAACTGCACTAAGTCACAGCCTCAAGAAACTAACTGTTGGGGGGTGTCGTAGCATACCTCCATCCCCTCACGCAGTCCGGCTTAAGCGTTCACCTTCCGTTGTGCCAAAACCATCCCCAAAACCTTCGCAAAAGGGGCAAAACGCCCCGCCCCGGTTCGCCCCAACGGTCTCGGTGGCCTGGCCTCCGGTTGATCTTCAAATTCGGTGGCTGTCAACCACTTGGGACAGGAGTGATCTTTCCTGCACATCAAGGGACCATGTTTGGCTTCACATCGGACCCAATGGCCCATGGTGACCGTGTCGTGGTTTGGCCCATTCGGACCGCATGGATGGATGGTTTGGTTGATTTGTCATAGTTCGCAGCTGTAAAGTTCTGATGAAAAATGCGGGAATTCACGGAGTTCCATTTAGGCCTAAGTCTTCCTGGAGGTTTCCCCAAAAGCCCCATTATATACATATATATATATATAATTAGTTTGTACTTTTCATGACTTTTCAGTGGAAGTGTTCTGCTTCCCATTCTCTATCTTCCAAACCGGTCTGTGTCGTGTGGTCTTCCGCTCCTGGGAGGTTGATCGCTCCTCCACAGAACCTTCGGGGCGTTCAGCGGCCCTCCATAGCCACGGCCGAACATGAACTGCGGATGCGAGTGGGGCAGGTACGCCGTGCTGCGCAAGCGCTCGCAAATGGAGGCGCGGGTCGGGTCGTCGTCCGTAGTGCCGGCACTGGTATCCTCGTGCCGGGACCCAAGTGCCAAGCCAACATGGACCGGTATTTTGATGCATATGGATTGAGAGCGAATGGCACAATCCCCAAGTTTGATGGTTGACCCCCATCTAAAAGACATCTGGGGATTTGTGCCACTTACTCTGCAACACCCAGGGTGCTTCGCAAACTGCTTGTTCTCCCTCAAACTGCGCTTCTGGTTGCCTGCGGACTCCCCGAAAACCAGCGAAGCGAACACCTGCGGACAGGCGAGCGAACGGACTCCCAAGGCGGACTGAAGGATGCTTGGGCCCAAACGACGGCTCAAGTCGAAGACCCGGACTCGAGTTGCGACGTGACCACGGCCACGGCCACGGCCATCCCTTCGGTCGTGCCAGGGTCGGAACCGAGGAACGGTTCATAACGGTTTCATCACGGACGACGGGAGTCACGGGCTGCAAAAGCCACGAGTTGAGCGTTGGTCGATCAGCCATTTCGCCCACCCCTCCAACTCTGAACAACGAACACCCAGCATCCCGCAGCAGCTCAGGTGGTGGACCCGGCCCATCGGTCGCCTCCTCCACAAAGAAGACACTGGGCGTTGATGCTACATGATGCTACTACCATGGTAGCAGCTGCGGGTGAGGTTTTCTACCCGTTTCCCTTGGCAAAGGAATGGTTTCACAGGGCCTTTTTGGACGGCCCGTTTTGGGTGTCAAGCTTTTGGATGAATTCTACAGAATTTTGTGATTTCAACAGACTTCAAAACTCCAAGCCAAAACGTCCTCTCACCCAAGGGATGTTCAGTCCAGAACATGGGATCATGGCATAATTTGTTCACACCGTCCTGAATATCTAAGATGCACTCCACTCCATCCCACAAGCTCTCCAACCTGCTCACTCCCCCCGGACCCTCCCGTCCTCTTCAGCGGCCTCAACCATCGCCTCATCCGCTGAATCCACTCCCACAATACTCCCACGTGCTTCGAAGACATCCCGATGCTCTTCCTCCCACGGTGCCACCGGCGGCACCTCCACGCTGGGCGCCATAGTGCCCTCAGGCACCGTGCGCGGCGGCACAGGCGCGGCGGGCGCCGCAGGCGCCGCGGGCACCGCAGGCGCCGCGGGCGCGGCGCGTGGGAGGTCCAGTGGTCTGGAGGCGTCCGGCTGGTCGAACTGCAGCTCCCAGCTGGTGCGGTGTATGGAGCCGTTCTTCCACTTCAATAAGACCACGATGTCGAAGGTGCCCCAACCTGCGAGCAAGTCCAAAACCCAAGCGGCTGAATTTGTTTCCTCGATTACGAGAGACTGTGATATTTCCCGGGAACCCAGTAGCCTTCTCTAACTTTCAAGAGCATCTTGCCTTTCCAAAAAACACTGCAGTGCGAGTGTTCGACCTCACAGCCCACAAAAACAGAAAGTTTGCCCACCGGCATGGCACACCGCTGAAAAGAAGTCGGCACCCACAAAAACAGGAAGTCACCCCGCGAGGTTGAACCCCCATAGTCCAACGCAGTATACTTACCTTTTGCCGGCCCTGACCCCAACTCCTACTTCGCTGGCCCACCGAGCACCTCGAGACTGGAACTCGAAGGGTGGCTCCTGTCGTACGCGCACCGGATCTTTGAAGGTCGGATGCAGCTTGATGGTGACGGAGTCCAACTCCTCTGCTCGCTCCACAGAAGGGGGACGCACCGGCTCGGCGGGCGCGGATATAACACCGGACTGCCCCGAAACGAAGCTGGCGCACCGCTCCGAACCCAGGTGAAACGCAGCCAGAAACCCTTCCGTCCCATCCCAAACCGTGAAATGAAGGCGACACCACGGAGGCCAGTGGTTGTGCCAGACCAGTGGTGGCTCTGGAGGAGTTCAAGAAAATTCCTGGTGGGGTCGCCTCTGAAGACCTGGATGTCGATGTCCAAGATGTTGACACTGCTGGGGATTGTCTGGAAAGACTTGCAATCCTGGTTCCTCGCTGCACACGAGTGTGTGACCCTAGCTGGTTGAACCAATCAAATCAAATAGGGCGAAAAGGATCACTGCAAGGGGAAATTCCATGTTCTTCTTTCAGGGCTCCAAGTGTCCAGATGAGCAAGTCAGGTCTGTGTCATACCTCCCGCAGCACCTCCCACCCATCTGCCTGAAGAGTGACTCCCATTTTCCCCCACCGATGGTATTCGAACCTTTCGTCCGAACCTTTCGGGGTCCACCAAACCCCACGCTGCCGTGCACCGCCCGACTGCCGTCATGATCGCTCGCCTGAACACAAACCTCACCAGGCGTCTTCCGTGGCACCCCGGACGTAGAAGGTCCAGTTGTAGCGCTTGCCATCCTTCGCAGGGGAGCAGCTGTTGCCCAGCACCAGCGCCATTCGCGTCGACGAAGCGAAGCGACGCGCCGCCGGGAAGGCCGGGACTCTGCGGATCAGCAGCGAGGAATCCAGCCGGACAGGAGGGTGAGGTTGGATCGGAAACAGCCCAAAGGTGGGAACCCAAGAGAAAAGACAAGTCTAGTAGGGTTCCCACCTTTGGGTGAGTAGAGACCGCTGCACTCAGCTCTAGTGGGAACTCAAGACATGTTTAGACTAAAAAGTAAAGCAAAGTAGGGGAGTCATTGACCTGGCCATGGGTGTTTTGTTGCTCGCTGTCTCGCACGGAGACCGCTGTGGAGTGGCGCTTCTGCCATGGCGGCTAGGACCACAGATGACCAAGGGACGGTCCTGCCAAATCACCAAAGTGAACTGGGTAGGATCGAAATCTGTCAACAAGACTTTTCAACTGCTTACCTGGCGCTTCCCGCCGGGGTGTCCAATGGAGACCTATAAGTAATGTTGGGCAGTCCAGATTGGACATGAAGCAGCTCGTAGATGCAACTCCAACCCCACAGCCACTGCAGTCCCTCAGCCACTGCCAGGTCTGCCGACCCTCCTCCCCTGCGGCGCCGCATCCTGGAGCTGAACTCGAGCTGAACCGGCTACCTACATACAGAAGCAACCACCTGCTGGGAGGGAACAAGCATCTTCCAGACTGGAAATCAAAACGCGGGCTGCAAAGGAACCTGGGTTCCTGTTTTGCATATCACGGGTCGCACGGAAAATCCCACAAGGAAACAAATCCGCCACCCAAAAAGGACAAAGCCCTCCTTTGCTAGCACTGTCATACCCATGACTGCTCCAAAACTATGAAGTAAATATCCAGGTTAATATTAATATCTATTACGTGTATATATATATATATATTGTTTTTTAAATGTATTACCTGGACCCTCCAAGAGGTGCCCAGAAACCACCTGCTAGGGTCACAAAACCACCTGTTGGAGGGTGCTGGGTGTTTTTGTTAACAAGGGAAATGCAGTCCGCGGCCAATGCTGGGTCACGTCAGCAGTGTTCGAGTGAAAACAATCCTATGTTCCTGGCAAAAACTATTTGAGGGTGCTAGTGCTGATATATCGGAATATTTACGTTTTGTCAAAGGAAGTTTAGTGTACGAAACTTCCGTGTTACGGACATTCAAGAACTGTTCATACACCACTCATTATACACCACTCATCATACACCACTCATCATACACCACTCGTCGCACACCACTTATCATACACCACTCATCAGACACCACTCATCATCCAGTTAGCTCTAGTTTCAAGAGCTCTAGCTCCAGTTAGCTCTAGTTTCAATAGCTCTAGCTCCAGTTTGCGTGGCAGGTGCATCACTTTGTGAACCTCCATGTGGAGATTTCGTGGCAGGCGCAGCACTTCGTGAACCTCCATGTGCAGAATTCGTGGCAGGTGAAGCACTTTGTGAACCTCCATGCGCAGATTTCATGGCAGGCACAGCACTTTGTGAACCTCCATGTGCAGATTTCGTGGCAGGCCCAGCACTTTGTGAACCTCCACGCGCAGATTTCGTGGCAGCCGCAGCACTTTGTTCGTGGCAGGCGCAGCACTTTGTGAACCTCAGGCACAGCACTTTGTGACCTCCATGTATAGATTTGGCGGCAGGCAAAGCACTTTGTGAACCTCCATGTGCAGATTTCGTCGCAGGCACATCACTTTGTGAACGTCCATGTGCAGAGTTCGTGGCAGGCACAGCAGTTTGTGAACCTCCATGTGCAGATTTCATGGCAGGCACAGCACTTTGTGAACCCCCATGCGCAGATCTCATGGCAGGCACAGCACTTTGTGAACCGTGAACCTCCACGCGCAGATTTCGTGACAGGCGCAATACAAAATGCGTTTTCGAGAGATAGCGGACGCACGAAATGCTGCGATTTTCAATAGAAAGGGTGGCTCCGAAGCTGGCAAGTCAAGCTTTGCAGAACGACGTGTCTCGAGACGGTCTCATGGTCGGGTCATGGTCATGCTCGGAATCCATTGTGGCTAGAGTTTTCACTTGTTTCTTGAAGCGCAGATTTGGTGGCAGGCACAGCAGATTTCATGGCAGGCGCAGCACTTTGTGAACCTCCATGCGCAGATTTCGTGGCAGGCACAGCACTTTGTGAACCTTTATGCGCACATTTCGTGGCAGACGCAGCACTTTGTGAACCTCCATGCGCAGATCTCGTGGCAAGCACAGCATCTGGGGAGCTGGAAGCTGAGAACTGGCGACTCTGTCGTACAACTCTAGTACGCGGAGTAATCTGGCGAGGCTGAGAACTGGCGACCTTGTAGTACAACTGTAGTACGCGGAGGAGCCTGGAAGCTGAGAACTGGCGACTTTGTAGTACAACTTTAGTACGCGGAGCGATCTGTGGAGCTGGAAGCTGAGAACTGGCGACTTTGTAGTACAACGTTAGTCCGCGGAGTATCTGGGCAGCTGGAAGATGAGAACTGGCGACTTTGTAGTACAACTTTAGGACGCGATAGTACGCGGAGTATCTGGAGAGCTGGAAGATGAGAACTGGCGACTTTGTAGTGCAACTTTAGTACGCAGAGCAATCTGTGGAGCTGGAAGCTGAGAACTGGCGACTTTGTAGTACAACTTTAGTACGCGGAGTGTCTGGAGAGCTGGAAGATGAGAACTGGCGACTTTGTAGTACAACTTTAGTACGCGGAGTATCTGGAGAGCTGGAAGATGAGAACTGGTGACTTTGTAGTACAACTTTAGTACTCGGAGCAATCTGTGGAGCTGGAAGCTGAGAACTGGCGTTTTTGTGGTACAACGTTAGTACGCGGAGTATCTGGGGAGCTGGAAGATGAGAACTGGCGACTTTGTAGTACAACTTTAGGACGCGATAGTACGCGGAGTATCTGGAGAGCTGAAAGCTGAGAACTGGCGACTCGGTAGTACAACCTTAGCACGCGGCTGAGTCATCTCTCGCGGCTGCTCTGGCGCCCCTGCAGCTGAGTCATGTCGCCCGACCACGCGGCTCTCTTGAGAGGTTGACAAATTTTATTGCTTACTCAAAAGTGGTCATTTCGATTACTTTCTGGAGACCTCATAACACGTGCTTTGAGAGGTTGACAAATTTGAGCTAATTAGCTTCGTGTCTAGACAAGCTATCACATCATAGTTAACGTCTAGCTCCAGTTAGCTTTAGTGGAGCTAGAGCTAGAGCTATGCTTCACTCATCACTCATCACTCGTGCGTCTTACTGAGGGACACGAGGGACACGCATGGTGGAAAGAACCGGGACACTCCTATAGGTCAGTTTGTTCTTATAGGAAACTTCCGCCGCCGGCTTGCCCGGGCACTACTTGTATACATATATGGTGTCTCACATCACTGTCAGACATGTGCCCTATCCAAAGTCTCCCCTCGCTCTTCTCGGGACCGACCGCCGCCGCACCTCGCTCCGCGAACCAGCGCACCATGCGCGCGTGCGGGGAGCGGCGACGTTCGGCGTCCGGCATATGGGGGTGGGTGTCATGGACCATGGACCACTGGTCTTTTTGTCTGGGACAGGTTCATTGGACAGTGAAGAGTGAGGTGTCCATCGAAGGGGCGTCTGTGCAACCAAGGACAAACTGAAACCAGTCTCAACCAAGAAGAGGGCGGTGGCTGACATGGGGTGGTATCGTGTCCGTCAATGGATCCTTGTTGGTTCTTCTTCGCCGCTGCCCAATCACAAATCCTTTGGCACAGCACGTCCAAGGTTTTTTTTGGAGGGCGCTGACTTAACGAGTCATGCCCAAGCCGGTTCTCAAGACCTAGTTCAATACAAAGGTCACCAACCAAGATGGTTTTGAAGCTTTTGGATGGCATTGAAGTTCATTGAAGTCGCCAGAGCCAAAAAGGCCAACTCAGCACTGGAATCGCTCGGTACCATGCGCAAACCTCTCCACGCGACCAGACTGGAAGTCTGAATCGAAACCTCCTGAGCGCTCCCCTGGAACCCTGGAGTCCTTAGAAAGTGGTCTGACAAGCCATTGGTTTGGGGTCTCAGTTTGCTACACACCGTAAACTGATTGGAAAGCACGCAGCTTTCGACCGAGATGAAGAAAAGCACTTGCCAACACAAAATGAGCACGTCCATCTCTGATCACTCAAAAGCTCAAGGACGGACTCTTTTTGCGTTCAAAAACATTCAAAGGGGTAAAGCGTGGAGTTGTCACGTGAAACACAGCAGAGGTTCGGCGGCCTGAACGAGATGTTCATGCACTTGGGCAGATCCGTTCATCGCCGCAAAAATACAAGGCCCCCAAGAAGCAGGTCGATCAAACGGGTTCAGGCCCACAAGAATGCCAAGTTGGGGTACAATTCTTTTTGGCTTTTCTTGGCAAACTTCGTGACGACTTCATTGAAATCCTCTGGAGTCCATTCGACTTTCCCCGGATGCTGGGAGTCATCCTCCACCCATTCCCACGCGGCCAACTCGTCAAAGGTATCTTCACGATCGCCCCTGTTAAAGAGCGACAAGACCAGGTTGAACTGGGGCGTGCTAAGAACCCCCTTTTCCTGGAGGAAGAACTGCCGCACGACTTCATCTCCTTTGAAGTTCTCGGAGAAATCAAAGTCATCATCTGCATCTGGCTCCTGCTCTGGGAAAAATACCACGCTACGCCACTGTAAATTACAGTGCATACATGGAACAAAATACCATTCAAATTTACTAAAGTTGTTTTCCCCTCTTTTCTCAAATGCATAGCGAAGGGTTCTCGTTTAACTCTGGGGTTTGGGGGTGGACTCTTGTTCGCGTTGTCGTAGCGTTCGATGGAAACATGATGAAACATGACGCGCGAGATTCGTGTGAAATAGCAAGGAAACGTGTGGAAACGTAAGATGTTGAAGTGTGGAACATGATTTCACCGTGCAGGCGCAGGCGTTTTGTGAGATGTGCAGTTTTCCTCGCATTCACATCAGGATTGGCGCTTGGAGGGTGGTGTTTTTGGGTGTTGCATGTGGCTGCGACATTGGGATTTGCGTTTCAGGTTGTTGTTTCGAAGCTGTGTTTCCGTGACAAGCAGCTCAAATTGTGAATATGGTGGCTGGGAGTGTACTCATATCGTGTCGAAATCATTCCAATCGTGTGGTGTGGCGCAATCTTTGCTGAAGCTACGAACATATGATGTTGTCACTTTTCGTGGCCGGCGCAGTACTTTGTGTGGATTTTGAAGTGTGGAAGTGCAATTTTCGTGGCAGGCGCAGGGAATCGTGAGGTTGCGAGCTGTGGTGGAGATGAATGCCGCTGTGACATTGGGATTGGCATGCGAGCGGGCGCTTGTTGGTTGGAGGGGCTGGAATCGTGAAACTGCTTGGCAGGGCTGCTTGACGCGGGCCGCTTGACTTTTGGAGGAAGTCTCATGTGAAATGCCCGTTTTGGATGTGACTTTTAGAGGATGTCTCGCGCGAAACGCTCGTTTTGGAGACTTGACCAGTAAATTTTGGACAAAACACTTGCTTTGCAGACTTGAAGTGTGAGTTTTTGAGGATGTCTCGCGCGAAACGCTCGTTTTGGAGACTTGACCAGTGAATTTTGGAAGAAGTCTCGTTCGAAACGCTCGCTTTGCAGACTTGAAGTGTGAGTGTTTGAGGAAGTCTCGCGCGAAACGCTCGTTTTGGAGACTTGACAATACTTGACAAGTGAATTTTGGAAGAAGTCTCGTACGAAATGATCGTACAAAATGCTTGTTTTGCAGACTTGACGTGTGACTTTTGGAGCAACTACTTTTGGAGACTTTAGTCTACAAGAGTGTCCCGCAAGAGTGTCCGACAAGAGTGTCCTACAAGAGTGCCCGCAAGAGTGTACCACAAGAGTGTCCGACAAGAGTGTCCTGCAAGTGTGTCCCACAAGAGTGTCCTACAAGAATGTCCCACAAGAGCATCCTACAAGAATGTTTCGCCAGAGCGTCCCACAAGAATGCCATACAAGAGTATCCCAAAAGAGTGACCCGCAAGAGTGTCTTACACGAGTGTTCCGCAAGAGTGTCCCGCAAGAGTGTTCGACAAGAGTGTCCCACAAGAGTGGCCCACAAGAGTGTCCTACAAGAGCGACATACAAGAGTGTCGGACAAG